GTCCCTGCCATAGAGTCCCTGCCATAGAGTCCCTGCCATAGAGTCCCTGCCATAGAGTCCCTGCCATAGAGTCCCTGCCATAGAGTCCCTGCCATAGAGTCCCTGCCATAGAGTCCCTGCCATAGAGTCCCTGCCATAGAGTCCCTGCCATAGAGTCCCTGCCATAGAGTCCCTGCCATAGAGTCCCTGCCATAGAGTCCCTGCCATAGAGTCCCTGCCATAGAGTCCCTGCCATAGAGTCCCTGCCATAGAGTCCCTGCCATAGAGTCCCTGCCATAGAGTCCCTGCCATAGAGTCCCTGCCATAGAGTCCCTGCCATAGAGTCCCTGCCATAGAGTCCCTGCCATAGAGTCCCTGCCATAGAGTCCCTGCCATAGAGTCCCTGCCATAGAGTCCCTGCCATAGAGTCCCTGCCATAGAGTCCCTGCCATAGAGTCCCTGCCATAGAGTCCCTGCCCATAGAGTCCCTGCCATAGAGTCCCTGCCATAGAGTCCCTGCCATAGAGTCCCTGCCATAGAGTCCCTGCCATAGAGTCCCTGCCATAGAGTCCCTGCCATAGAGTCCCTGCCATAGAGTCCCTGCCATAGAGTCCCTGCCATAGAGTCCCTGCCATAGAGTCCCTGCCATAGAGTCCCTGCCATAGAGTCCCTGCCATAGAGTCCCTGCCATAGAGTCCCTGCCATAGAGTCCCTGCCATAGAGTCCCTGCCATAGAGTCCCTGCCATAGAGTCCCTGCCATAGAGTCCCTGCCATAGAGTCCCTGCCATAGAGTCCCTGCCATAGAGTCCCTGCCATAGAGTCCCTGCCATAGAGTCCCTGCCATAGAGTCCCTGCCATAGAGTCCCTGCCATAGAGTCCCTGCCATAGAGTCCCTGCCATAGAGTCCCTGCCATAGAGTCCCTGCCATAGAGTCCCTGCCATAGAGTCCCTGCCATAGAGTCCCTGCCATAGAGTCCCTGCCATAGAGTCCCTGCCATAGAGTCCCTGCCATAGAGTCCCTGCCATAGAGTCCCTGCCCATATTTACTGTGGTTGCAGTTTTGTCAATTCGGATTATTATTGTCCTTGTCTGTCTTGTATTTTGTTTTTCTCGTTTTGTATTTAGTTTGTTTATTGACTGTGCATTGTTGTGTTAATACATGGCCAAATGCTCGCTTGTCAATTAATCTGACCCTGTTCATTTAGTTAATTTGCCTCACCTGTCCTCATTTTGTTCTTTGTCTGCTCATCTATTCTTCTAGTGTGCTTTTGTCTCTTGCTGAATCATTTCTCATGTTATGCAATTGGTTACTGTATGTTCTGCCTGCTTTGCTTTTTTTTTTTTCTTTTTTTTTAAACTGAAGTTGACTCTTACCTTACCATGAATTGTTTATTAGCCCTTTAGACTGTTACCAGGGTTTTTTTTTTTTTTCTCTCTCTCTCTTTTTGAGCTAAAGTTTATTTTATCGCTTATCTGCATCTGGATTGTCCTCACACTTGACAATAGATTATAGTAATATTGTACATGTTAAGGTTTTATTTGTTTTTGCAGTATTAACTGGTTAGTTTAACTCAAAAAGATTTCAACGTCAGGATCTAAATCTATTTTAAATCAAGTTTGATATTTAAATTTTAATTTTAATATTTTCTATTATTCTAAGCTTAATTTGTAATTAAAGAGAAGTACTCCATACAACCAAAGAGAATAAACAAAAATCAGAAACCCTAGATGACTTGAAAGTTATCATCATGGAGTGAAAAAAATCCTGTTAACCTGTAACTTTCTATTTAAAAAAATAATATATATCTAGTTAAAATAGAAAAGCAATTTGTGAAGTGCCAGGATGTTATTTTAGTTATTTAGCATAATATATTTTTTTCAGCTAACTTAAAAACTGAATTATTAATGTATTATTAAATATACTGCTGGATGTATAACAATCTGCAACAGTATCCCTGAAACTTGGATGTCATGTATTTTTAAATGTATATAGTTATTTGAGGTTTGGAGGTTCGTCTGACTGAGAACAATGATAAAAGATTGGAGTAAGCCGAAGAACAGCGAGTCAGTGAATTTATTAGAGCACCAATTAGGGCAATTTAAATATATAAACTTAACGTTCTTCAATAACAATTAAGATGTAGGCCTACCTTTGTGTGACATTTAACACACCAACATAATTGTAAATACTCAAGCTATTTTTAAAAGAATATTGTATTTAACGTACTTTTTGCCTCAGTATTTTAAGAAACGTAGAGGAAAAACAAGTAAGATGTCGATGTGTAACAATTACGCTCAACAACGACAAATGACTTTCAAAATAACAACCAGTCAGGTACTCGTGTTAAAATAAGAGACTGACAAACTGAACATGAAAGTTACATTGTCTTGCTATAATGCATTTCAATTTCTTACCTTAGTCAAAAAAAGTCAGAAAAATATGACCTAAATTTCAAAAGATCTTCGTGTTTGTGCTCTGGTGTATACTCTTGTAATATAGCGCCATCTAGTGATGATGTTTCACATGTAGCACGTGGGACCCAGCATGACCATCCTGTTTTGAGCGAATGGTAAAAGGCATTTACATCGGGTGGGAGGTTCTGTAAGGATCCAAATAAACCTAAAAATTACTAATATATTAGTTTTTTTATTACACTTTTTACTGGAAAGTAGGCCTACTGTTTATTAATTTAATTGCACGTTTATTAACTTTTGAGGTATTTTTTATTTAATGCACTCTAATCCATTTGGTATGTTTATTAGTATTTTTATAATGGTTTATTTATTGATTTATTTGAACCCTAAATAAATTATAATTTTGCATGAATAGTTTTATAATTACAATTTGATGTTCAAGCTTATTCCTTTCATAATTTTGTATGTTTATTGATTTATAGATCATTACATATTTGATTATTTATTTTAGTCTTACTTTTGATTTGATTACATTATTTAATTATTTTTTGTATATTAATACTTTCAAAATAATTGAAGACCCCTTAAAAATAATATAAAAGCACACATCAAATTTTTTTATGAGTTACTGATTGTGTTGAATTATAGAATTTTTTTATTTTGTGAAATGTTAGGATATTACTGACTTCAGAGAGCATTAAGCTCTCATAAGCTGAGCCCAAATTCAGACAAGATTTCCAGCTAGATTTTAAAACCTTTGTTTCTTATCTTTAATATAATGATTTGTTAAAATAAGTATAGTAGGCCTTGTTTTGATATCTAAGCTATTCAATGGACGTGCTATGCTTCCTTATTTTGCCAAAGAAACATAAGTATTATTAAATACTTACATTAAAAGTTGTTGTTTGTTGTCAAATTGTGGACTGTAATTTTGAAGTGAGAACTGTCGCAAATACTTTTTCACGAAAGCATGTGTTTACGACAGCGCCCCTGCTTCTGGGCTCAGGAAACCCTTGTGCGGCCTTTCCGAACAGCGCTCGGTATCTGAAAGGTGCGTCTGCAAGTCCTTCTCCATAGTGCAGTCAATTAAAGATTAATTTCATCTCAAAGTAAACGTTATCTATTCTGTCTTTGTTTCAGAATCATGCCGGCTAAAGGTCCCCTACAGTCTGTCCAGGTTTTTGGACGTAAAGTGAGTAAATTCAGACATCAATGTTTCTCATGTGCTCGCGCACGGCGCTGATGAGGCACTCAAGTTAGCCGGCTATGCTAACAGCAATATGCGACTGTAAACCACTGTGGTTTTGTGCATGCTCAGAAATAAACTGAACAAACGCACATAACCCTTAGTAACTACAAACAAGGTTATGTGCTTTTACGCCGCGTAAATGTATATAATAGGCCATGATTCTCTAGATCGCAAGTGATGGGGTTTTGTATTGACAATTGCTGTTTTTTGACACGTGGGACAGTTAAATTCTTACATCCAGAGATTTATAGAATAAAAATTGACCTTGAACTTTATCTAGATATTTTCTGTACTTGCTTATTTGGTTAATATAGATGTGTTGTATGTCTTGCTAACTGTTAGCTTGTATCGTTACTTGTGTGTAATGTTAGCAGTAGTTTGCTTCCTCTGTAGTGTCATCAACTATGTGCTAGCTCTTAAATAGTCATTTTGGTATAATGGAACGAATGGTTTTAATGCAACAAATTCTAACGTTACAGGTATATTTAAAAGTTCTAATTAACGTTAGCTTTTAACTCATTTGTAATTCCCCATGCTGCTAAATGTGGACATACACCTAAATGTATTGCACTTTTAACAATACATGAACAGATAATAAGTGTGCCTAGCATTAAGTGTTTTCAGATGCTTAATTAAAAAGTGAGGCCATAGAAGATATTGATACTGCTCATTTGTAGTCTCTGGTGTCATAACATCTGAGTTTTCTTCTTTTTCTGTTATTAAATACTTTAATTGTACAATGTATTCTTTTTTTTTGTTTTTTCAAAAAAAGTGGCTGTAATTTTTTGGTTAACAAATAGATTGTTTTCTATGGTTTTGAAATCTAACAATGTGTTGGCTGATCCATTTTTTTCTGTCAACAGAAAACAGCTACTGCTGTCGCCCACTGCAAGAGGGGAAATGGGCTTATTAAAGTCAACGGAAGACCCCTTGAGATGATTGAGCCCGTCACTCTGCAGTACAAGGTATGTTTGTCACAAAGATGGAGTGCTTTTTGAGCGGTTAGATCACCCAAAATCGCCAATTCTATTATCACCCATTCTCATATCGTTTCAAACCCATGCAAAAAAAAATAAAAAATTATCTTCAGAACATAAATTTTGGATACATGGGATAAAATCTGAGCAGTCGCGTCCTCCGTAGACAGCAATGGTCCTGACTAAATTATACTATAAAGTTTACTTAAACGAAATTAAAAAAAAAAAAAAGACATTTTCTAATAAATTCCAGCCACAACCAAGTTATTTTTTAGTTATTTTTGGCAGTTCGAAACAGTCCACCTAAGCAAGCTTTTTACAGGAGTTCATTTTGGTCCTAAACACCTTTGAATTTTCATTGGTCAGATGATTTTGCAATCAATGACTGTTTTCTAGAACCTTGGCGTGCTTCATATTCTCACTGTTTATAGTCAGACAGGAGTTAACATCTAGCACAACATGAGAATAGCTTGGCAAAAGACGAGAAGCTCATCAGCATCATGCCATATCTGACAAAGTTCTAAACATGTTTCCATTTAGTGTCGTGTGTGGCAAGTATAAAACAATGTGACACTTCTAGTGAAGAAAGCTGTTTGCTACATGTTCATGAAACTGTTGTCCTCTCTCATCTGCAGTTGTGTTTAGCATTACACTTAAGCAGTGAGATGCATTTAAAATTCCACTTATTTCTGCACAGTGGTGTCAAGTTTTGAAAACACTGTACTGTCATTTCAAACTTCTTTAATGGCCTTAAAGACTAAAAAATATTTTGTTGGCCATTCCCAAAGCGCACCATGTTTTTTCAGTGGTTTAATCAGAATTTTATAAAGCTAAGATAATCATTTTCTGCGCACAAAACAAAATTAAGTTTAATCAAACGGTTTCTTCTCATATATATATATATATATATATATATATATATATATATATATATACACACACACACACACACATATGTGTGTGTATACACACACACATACAGGTATTTATTAAAGTTCTGATTGGGAGGTACTGTCCGATTCCGATCGAGTCTGAAACTACGTGATCAGGCTCTATTTCCTATCACATGATCAGATCTGGACATCCTTAGTATAGGTTGGATGTTTACAAACACTGCACAGATGTTTACCCCAGATGTCCCCGCAAAGTATCTGAGGTATATATCAGCAGCGCTATCAAGTGTGACGCTTATGAAGAGCATGCAGCTATCATGAACGTGCACTATATACTGACACAGAGAAGAAACTTTGATAAAGATGTTTTTTTTTAAAAGTTGTAAATTATAAGGGTTGTAAAGCAAGATAACCCACAATTTAAGCCTAGGATTAATTATTTCAAGTGTGTAAAGCCCTACTGAAATCAAGCTTTTGTTCTTTGAAAAAGCTTCATCTTTCACAGCCTTTGATATTGCTTATGAAAGTATTAATGTCAGATTTATGGAAAATTATCTGCATTTTAACTCCTTGATCCAATTAGTATAGCTGGTCACAGATTTATTTATTAATCAAACTCTCCAATTATGTGGTTCAACTCGCAAATCCCCAGCCTTTTCTTAATGACTAACAGCTCTCCAGAGGGGACATTCAACAGGGAATAACTTTTGTCCTATGAAATTGAAGTGTTTTAATATTTTTTAGTCTTTTGTACTTTGTAAACTTTCAACCTCAATCATTGCAACAACAGCTTTGTTTTCAAAAAATACCTGCGTTTGTTTTTTTGAAATTAAATTTATCTACACTTGTTTATGAACTTTTTGACGGAGTTTGGTTTATTGCTGTTTCAGAATTTGGATTATTACATTTCCCACATTTTTATTGTGCACTTTGGGTATCCTGGAGAGATTGTCCATCTGCTAACAAGCTGTTTATTTTTATTAAAGCTGCTGGAGCCTCTTCTGCTGCTGGGTAAGGAGCGCTTCGCTGGCGTGGACATCAGAGTCCGTGTGAAGGGTGGTGGACACGTCGCTCAGGTCTACGGTGAGTGATCTTGGAAGGCATTTGTTCTGTACTTAATATTAGCATGAATTTAGCTTCTCCAAGACCAAAGTGTAAAAAAATACCTGTACTGAAATTAACATGTTTTATTCCTCTTCTAGCCATCCGTCAGGCCATCTCCAAAGCCCTGGTTGCCTATTATCAGAAATGTAAGTGTTATCACTTTATTGTCATCAGCAAATTAAGAAATGTACGAGGTTATTAAATGACTCTCAATTTTTCTCTTCTGTCAGATGTGGATGAGGCCTCCAAGAAAGAGATCAAGGATATCTTAATTCAGTACGACAGGACCCTGCTGGTTGCTGATCCCCGCCGCTGCGAGTCCAAGAAGTTTGGTGGACCTGGAGCTCGTGCTCGCTACCAGAAATCCTACCGTTAAAATCTCTCTGTACATTTTCATATAATAAATTTAAAGGGGGAAAACATGCTGTAGTCTTGTTGTTTTTATTAAAACTACTTGTAGTTTTGAGTTTATTTACTGCAGAAAAGCGCTAAACTGTCGTTCAATTATTTGTGTACCAAATATTTTTAAGGCAAATTTAGAATAAGATTTAATTTGGTGACATTGTGTGTGTAAAGATCACAGAGCAGTCCCAAGTCACTCAGTTGTTATTTAAAAAATCTATACATGCTCTCTATACTTCAAAACACTGGTGTTTACTCCTTTTTCAGTAGGAAATGAATCATTTGAAACACATTTAGTATAGCCTCTTGTTATATTGATTTTAATAAGCACAAGCATAGATTAAGCATCTGTTCTTTTGTATTATAACACTTGGTAGTTTGGTGTAGACCACAATATTGGATATCTCATTTTTGACTCATTGGCTGTGAAAGAAGAGATATGAAAAATCTGCAAACTTGATTAAATGCAGACAATATTTC